AGTTTAAGATATTATATATAAAGAATCTTCTCTAACGATTATTTTATAGAAAGATTTAATTAAAAATTAATTTTATTTAGATACCAATATAATAATAATTATATTCTATTTATAGTTATAATTAATTTTTATTTATATATATAAATTAAATATATAGTATTAAAAAGTAATATAAAAAAGTATCTGTAAATCTAAAAAGTTCCTTTTCGTATAATTTCCGCCGGGTTCGTATCATAAGCACGATTTAGCACGATTTAGTCTATTAAGCAGACTTTATCTATATCTAATCCTTTCCGCCAGTTCTATTAGTTTAGCAACTTTAAAAATTTTAATAACTTTAAAAATTTTACGTAATGCACTCTAAGTACTATTCTATATACGAAGTATATATGATATTAATATATATCATTATCAATATACGCATTATTATGCGCTATATTAGAGTATTATCTACGCGACTAATTTTATTAAATCATCTAATTCCGTAGCTAAATTTGAGTTCTCTTCGTATTTTTAAAAAGAGCTAGTTCGAGGTGATAAGTAGACTATTCTTTATAGTATTTTACTATACTATAGAGCCTCGATATAGTATAACGTCTTATTTAGATAGATATATAGTAAGATCAAAAACAATGCCCATATTTTGGTGTTGCGCCGGACTTATCGGATTTAAAATCGGGTATTATCAGGTATCGGGCACTTCCGGGTATATACGAATATGCAATCAGGGGTACAGCTGCAGGGATATTCTGTCACAAAAAAGTAGAGTGTCCGAATCTCGGATACTATGCTGTACTACTTTGCAACCAAGGAATTTTAGCATACATTTTGTTCGAACTTTTCAAGATGCTGCCCATTGGCCCATGAAATCATTGGAAATCGCATTTGTATCCAGACTCTCTCACAAGGTTCTCACCCATTACTGAGCACCCTTCCTGTCCTTTTTCAAGGGGGATATGGCACCGAAAGTACTCACGCTGGGACCAATTGCTTTGCGAGGCCCAAGTTTTGAAGCCCCGAGTCCCCCTTTCCCCAGCGTCCCAAACCCTTTGACACCACCAAGCAGTCCTCGGTCACCTTTGAGTGTATCCCCCTCATCCTCGTCAAACAGTGTCTTCCCAAGACCACCTCCGAGCAGCTTTCTCTTCCTCTTTTTCATTTCGAGACCGCCATAAAATATCTCGTTGGAGGAACCTTTGTTGCCTGCGGGCTCGCTCATGCTCGTCGTTGATCCTTCATTCTCAACATTCTCCTCTGCAACAAATTCTAAGGTGGGCGCAGCTTTTGTCCTTCGCGCAGGGGCTCTTGAGTTGATTCTGCCTGTCTTCGCATTTCCAAGTACACCGACTATTTTCGTTTGTACAACGTTTTTCATGGCGTCAGACGTGTCCACCGGGTCAGAGATTGCCTCGGACGACGCCGCCTTTTGGTTGGCAGTCCCAATCAGGCGATCAGATCCTTTGACATGCTCTTCGTCATGTCCACTAGCGTCGTCTGAAGGTGGGCTTTCTGGAGCCACGCTCGCCGTTCGATTGAGGAAAGGAGTGATGGAAAATGTGGATTTCTCGCCAATCAGAGTTGACTTCCGCTTGCTCTTCTTCGCAGCTGGAAGGTCTCCGGGCGTACCGATTATTGTATCGGCATCTATGTGCGCAGCTGCTCGTTTATGTGGGTTCCCGGCCACGAACGTGGTTGAGTCCACCGACGCGGATGCGCGACTTGATGTGCTGTGATTGGATGCTTGTGCTGTCTGCATGGACGTTTGCGCTTCTTTGAGCTGCTCCTTAGTAGACTTCAATTTGTTCCTGAATGCATCCAACCGAGACTCCAGTGTTGTTATCCTGTTTTCTGATTGAGTGGAACTCTTTTGAGCCTCGCGCTCTACCTTCTGTCGTTCTCGACGTTCTTTTGCAAGATCCGCTTGCAAATTCTCTAATTGGGATTCAAGTTTGGCGTCTTCAGCCTGTAATTTACCCTCCTTAGCTAGCACTCGCTGGGTGGCACGCTTTTCTCTTTCCAGCTCCACCTGCACCGTGCTCAATTGCTGCTGTAGAGACAGTTTCTCCGCAAGCAACGACTGATGTGATGCGGCTTGAGATCGCAAGTGGTCGACCTCGGGTTTCAATGCTGACAGCTCGCGGGCTAGGGTGAGCTTCTCCGTCAGCAATTTCGTAGAGTCCATGGTCACTCCGTGCAAAGAATTGAGTTCTGCCTATGATGAGAAGTAAGCTTGTCTATGGCATTAATATTGTGCTTGTGTTCGCAAATACCTTCAATGTTTCAACTTCTCGTGATTTGATTCGTAATTTTTCCTGTGCGCTTTCAAGTCTTCGGCCACAGACTTCCAGATCCTCTTGGAGACGCTCGTTGAATCTTTCCAGCCGATCAATGCGATCGTCATCTTGAGACAATTGTGTGTGTAGGTCGTCGTTGTCATCCTCCAAGAGTAGTGTGCGTACTCGAAGCTGCCTGAGCCGTTCTGCATCACAAACAGCTTCAACCTGGCAACAAGTTCTTTGGTAAGCCAGCTCGAAGGCACGAGACTCGAGGGCCAACTGTAACTGCTCCATTGCGCTCGACACTTAGGTCAACAATGCGATTCTTCTCAAATCATAACATCTCGTTAAAGTCAAGGAGGAAGACGCGTGAATGCCAAAAGTAAACAAAACCAGCACTAGTGCTAAGCTGCGGCATTTAGTCTAATATAACGGATAAACGATAATGCGAAGGCCAGAAATGTAAAAACGACCTGTATTGCTGTTTATTCTCACACCCACAACTGATACCCTAGTGAGCCAGAATGAACTTGTCCGGTTTACTCGCTCTGACACTGCTGCCTATTCTATGCCTTGGGGCAAAAAAACCATCATTTGTTGGGACTTTTGAAGATTACCATGTCAAATCACAATCATCCGCACCTTTGCGACTAGATGATGCTTCGTACGACGATTTGACGGCAATTCCTCGTAATTATTCCGTGGTCGTTCTTCTTACCGCTCTGGAAGCACGCTTCGGCTGCCAACTATGCCGTGAGTTTCAACCTGAATGGGATCTGCTCGGACGAAGTTGGGCAAAGGGAGACCGACATGGAGACTCTCGAACTCTGCTGGGGACTCTAGATTTCGCAGATGGGAAGGGGACATTCCAGAAGGTACTTCCTTACGAATGTGGCATTGATGCTGCCAGTGGCTGGCTTTTGCTTACAGCTGCTCCCTAGCTTATGCTACAAACGGCTCCCATCTTTCTTTTATTTCCACCAACAACCGGTCAGAATGCAAAGCGAGACGGGCAGCCCATTCGATATGACTTCACAGCTGGGTGAGTTGTGTGGAAGACCTCGATGCGCCCCTTGGCTGACTTTGGTGATCTCGAAGTCCCCAGTCCGCCGAGCAAGTGGTTGGATGGATTAGTCGTTATTTGCCAGACGGTCACAAACCCGCCATACAACGACCCTTAAATTATGTTCGCATCATCACGGTCACTACTACTCTCCTTGGCATTGTGTCCTTCTTGAGTGTCGCATACCCATACATCTTACCCGTGATACAAAACAGAAATCTGTGGGCTGGAATTAGTCTAATCACCATTCTACTGTTCACGAGCGGTCACATGTTCAATCACATCAGGAAGGTCCCATACGTGGCAGGGAATGGCCAAGGTGGTATATCCTATTTCGCTGGTGGATTCTCCAATCAATTCGGCATGGAGACCCAAATTGTAGCTGCTATGTGTATGTTCTCCTAGTCGACGTCGGCTCTTAGCACTTTCACACTAATGGTCTTCACTTAGATGGCACTCTTTCGTTCGCAACCATAGCCTTAGCGCTAAGAGTACCTCGCATGTCAGATCCCAAGAAGCAGCAACTGGCAATTTTCATTTGGGGGGGCGTGATGTTTAGCATGTACAGCTTTTTGCTCAGCGTCTTCAGGATCAAGAACGGGGGCTATCCTTTTCATTTGCCGCCATTCTGACAGTCGACATGAAGATCTCAAAGCAGCTGTTGGTGTTATTAGAGCGTGATGGTATGAAAACCCTGTGTCGATAGAGAAGGCAAACAGAGACCATGTTACCGTATACTGGAATGCATACACACTACAGCTTTGATAGGTCTCATGGGCTCTGAGTGCAGCAATATCAGAAAGTACCCTTCGTACGGGCGTTCAAGCCTGCTCCACTACAAATCAGCTACTCAGCATAGCCATCATACTTCTTGTGTTCATGGTAACGTTTAATCAAAGGCATCGGTTTCAGTGCCTTCCTCTACAGATCTTCACGGTCATCATCGGGCATGTCTTCCTTTCGATGGCCTGCTTGCTGCTGGCATCCACGGCAATCACTACGATCCCATGGTGGTATGCGTCATCCTTGGCCCTGTGTTGGGCCATAGACTAGCTCAGCTGTTTCTCGAATGGTCAGAAGTCCGATCAGGGTAATTGCTACGTTGAATTTTCGGCAACCAGTAATAGACAGGTTTAGCAATGTGATTTAAAATAGGCAGCTACTACGCGTACAGCCCCTACCCAGTAGGCGTACAGCCCCTATCTACTAGGCGTACAGCCCCCCTAATCGAGTTAGCGGCCGCGCGGAAGCTAACGAATATTAACCGGAAATGGTAAAGAACCCGCATCTAGTCTCTGCCGAATGCCTTCACAGTAGGATATGGTAGTAGAACCAACTCCCACCCCACCGCCCGCCTACATCCCTCGCTCAATAGGCAAGGATCAGAGCGCATACCTACACCTACCTCTACACCTACCTCTACACTGCAAGCGTCACAGCGGGGGGGTTTGCGACCGCTGCAGCAGCCACCCCGACGACTAGGCATTATACGAGGGCGGCGAGGTGGGCAGGCTGAACAGGCTACAAGAGGAGGACAGCGAGGTGGTGCTACACGATGACAGCGAGGTGGTACTACACAGGCCTACATACAGGGTAACGAGGCTATATTCAATACGTTTCAGATGTAGGAAGATCAGCTGGCCGATGATGGGCGTATTTTTAGTAGCAAGCAGAGAGGGTAGCCAGCCAATCAGCTATCGCCATAGAGAAATTATTCAAAAACCTCACTAATCGACGAATTGAAACCGTCCGATATTAGAAATCTACAGGGAGAGACATAGAGAGGCTTGCCCTGCTACCACTAAGCATCTCCGCAAGAATCTCGAAGAGACTAGATGCGGGTTCTTTACCAATTTCGATTAGTATCCGTTAGCCCATGCGAGTTCTTTACCATTTTCGGTTAGTACTCGTTAGCTTCCGCGCGGCCGCTAACCCGATTAGGGGGGCTATACGCCTAGTAGATAGAGGCTATACGTCTATTAAATAGAAGTTATATATTTAATAGATAGAGGCTATACGCGTAGTAGCTATCTTAAAAGAATAATTTAAAACGAAAAGAGTAATAATCTAATAGGCTAACTATATAGAGTAGTTATTAGTCTTATCGATTACTTATAAATTAAATTATTATTTTATATTATAAAATAGTAATTTAATTATAAAGTTATTCTATACGACGTTAACGTAATTACTTATTTAGATATATAAAATTAAATAAATAATTAATAAATCTATTAAGCTCTTATTATATATATCTTCTATCTTTTAATAAGTAATAACTAAGCGAAAAGAGATTTTTAATACTTATATATTAAATATAAGATTTATAAAGAAGTTTTAATCTAGAAGAAACTATTAAAATTCGAATTACGTAACTCTTAGCGTCTTAGTAATTATATAACTATATTACGTAATATATCTTAGCGCGCTTATATTAAGTTACTCTTTTCTTTTATAGAACTCTATAATTAATATAATTAAGTATTTTATTTTTAATTTTAATAAATTATAAATTTAAATTATATTTAATAACTATCTTACGAAAGCTACTATATATGAGAATTTACTATTAATTAAAAATAGATAAACTATTAACGATAATAATACGATTTATATAATAAGAACTATATATCGAATATAGTTAAATTTATTAAAATTCGAATTATATAATTTTTAGCGTCTTAATAATTATATAACTACGTTATATAATATATCTTAACGCGTTTATATTAAGTTACTCTTTTCTTTTATAAAACTCTATAATTAATATAATTAAATATTTTATCTTTATATTTTAATAGATTATAAATTTAAATTATATTTAATAATTATTTTAATAATAATATAATCTATCGCTATAATTATAATTATTTTTAAATATTTATATTTATTATAATAAAGATAATTATAATTATAAAAGACTTTATTAATTTTCTTAATATAAAATTTTTTTATTTTAAAATAATTATTTTAGATTTAAATAATTATAATTTATTTATAATTTAAGAGCTAAAAGCTATTATTTAAATATTTTTACTTTTTACTTAAAATAATATAAAGCGAGTTAAAATATATTATATCTAGCTAAGACTATTAAAATTATTATATAATTAATTAAATTATATTATTATTAAGATCTTTAAAATATTATTAATTTTTTTATATAAAATATATTAAATAAAAAAATAATATATTTTTATTTATATATTATAAATATTAAAGAATTAAATAATAAATATCTTATTTAGATTTTATATTTATTTAATTATAAAATATTTATAATAAAGATTAGAAATTAATTATTTTAACTATTATTAAAAGAAGTATAATTTAAAAAAAAATCTTAGCTTTAATATTAATTATATAATTTTTAATTATTATTAATAAAGATATATTAATTAAAAAAATAAGAATCTTAATCTTAAAAGTAAAAGAAGAAAGAAATTTCTATTATTATAAAGAAGTCTTAATATAAATATTTATTTTAAAAATAAAATACCTCGATAGTAAATAAATAATTTTATAATTAATCTTAATCTTAAATTTTAATTAAATTAATTTTAAAGAAGATAAATAAAGCTTTTAATTATTAAGATAATTAATATAACTTTAATAATATAATACTATATTTATATATAAAAAATAGATTTTTATTATTATAATATTCTTAAATTATTTTAATATTTTTAATATTTATTAATTATTTAATTTTTTAATAAAATATTATTTACTATTTTAAATATTAATAGATAATAAATCTTTATAAATAAAAATTTAAATTATATTAAATTAATTTTAAAATTTAATAAGACTTCTTTTATATATTTAAATTTTTAATATATTATAAAAAATATTTTAATAGCGAAAGTAAATATTATAGATTATATTTAATAGATAGAAGCTAGTAGCTAATAGCTTAATATGGCTTAGCATTAAGATATATTTAGATAATTAGATTTTATAGAAGAAGTAGTATCTTTTTACTACCTAAGAAACGTCTTTCTTAGAAATGAGATTTCTAAGAATTAGTATATATAATAGAATAAGGTAGGGCTAAGCTTAAAAATCTTGAATTTATATATGCAGTCAATTATAAATTCGAGTTCGCTACGCTCTTTAATTAGACCGGCTAAATTAGCCCGATAGTTCTCCCGCGCTTTTCTTATTAAAAATTTATATATGAAGTTTTACACTTTAAAGTACTTAGCTTACGATATATATAATTACTTTA